CACAGCACATCACTTGGATGAACATCTGTTTTGTTTTCTCTCTGTAGATAACACAAAGATTTGTCTAATCCTCACCAGCAATTCCTTCAGCTTCTCTGATGCTGGCTCTGACTTTTTCATGCAGCTTGTTTCAGTGGAGTGTGCAGAAGGAGCTCTGTCAGGACTCACTGTGCTGTTAGGTGTTACCTGTTGCTTTTCCTCAATAGCCAAAAACTGAGATAAAATTTATCCTGGTTTGACTTGCTTAAACTCTTAAAAAGGGGGCATTTTTTATAATATTATTCATAAGTTTTTCTTCCCTTTGCAACAACATTATCTATGGTGCTTATTCTTACATGCTTCTCTCTGTTTTGTATTAATTGGTCACATTATCTCCTCAGCTTGATGGTGTGGGAGCTTTCCTGTACTACTAAAAATTGAACATATAGTTGAAAGATTTCTGTGAATCATGGCAATAGCCTTTTCCCAGTTTTTATTATTTTGGCTTAGGTACATCTATCTTTATTAAATGCATCATGCTTTACTACCTGCAAATATAGAAGGCATAAATCTCACACATACTGCTGTTTGTATGTTCTGTAATATAAGTAGGTCTGGAAATGCTGCAGTGTCACTGCAAGGTGCATCAATTCTACCACCTAGTAACTGTTACAATAAGTAATTAAAAGAAGATAAATGAACAATTTAGATGGTTTTTTTTTGCAGTGTCCTACTAGAGGAGCAGAAGAGGACATAAACATTTTTTATAGATAATTATAGGAGTTGCTGTTATTATAACAGTGTTATAATTTTATTATAATTTAACAGTGTTTATTTCTAGTTTTATATAGTTATATAAGTTTCTGAAATGTCCACAGAAAAAATATTGAGTCATTGCTGAGGTAAGTAATATTTACAGCTGCCTAAATTTAGACTGTGCAACCCTGTTTTTGTAGCTCCTCATCTCTGGAAGGTTGCTTGGTATTTCTTAGTTAATGGAAATGTCTTTAATACTAGCAGTGAGATAAATGGGACCAGCTAAATAAATGCTGCTCAAAATCCAGGCAGATTTACCTTTGTAAACTATGCTTGGAAGAGACGTGTAACTGTCAAAGGATCTGCCTGGCCATGTATAGTGATGGGATTATGCAGATATGTCTCTGCTTGTTGCTAAAGGTTCACAAGGCTCTCATGAGACTTAAGTATAAAGAAAACCGTTGATGTACCAGCACAAAAATCAAAGAATAGTCCAATAACAATCACAACAAAGAGAAGCAGCTACCATAGGCAGAGTAACAAAAGAGAACAATTGTAAACCTTGTTACTGAACAGAGAGAGTGAAGGATGAGTGAAAATAATAGTTTCCAGGGAATATAGGCATATTGATGTGAGCAGGAAGCAGCTCCTGCCAGGATTTGTCACCAATTACTTTCCCCCTATGCTGTAAGGGAGAACCCTATTGCTCTATTTAATTATTCAGAGCTATAATATTGCTGCTGTCTAGTTTCTTCAGAAAGGGCTCAGAAAAAAAAACTCAACCTTTTTAGAATACCTGTGTATGCAGTAAATTAAACAAGTTGTTAGCTCTTGGTATGATTTGAGAGATGTTGCCAAATAAATTCTTTTTATTCAGATTTTCATTTTAAATTAGATAGCAAAAATAAAGAAAAAAAGAAAAAGAAGATAAACAGCTCTTTTTGACCATATATATCAGAAATATTGTACATTTGATGACAACAGCTGCAGAACTTTTTTGTCCTCTCTAAGTCAACTTTACTTTGTATGCCAAATAGCATCATACAGCCAAGCAAGCACATTCAAAGCATACCAACATTTAATAAGTTTTTTTAAATTCTTGGTCATATGGCTTCTTATGGAGATTATCACCTTTGATGAGAATAATTCAAGCACTTATAGCTCAGAACTGCCCCCCTAAAAATATTCTAGTGGTTCAAAGAAGAAAAATATCACAGAAACAATTAGGCTGGAAAATACCTCTAACACTGAGTCCCACCTTTGTCTGAACACCACCTTGTCAACCAGACATGACACCAAGTGCCACATCCAGTCTTTTCTTAAACACCTCCAGGGATGGTGACTCCACCAGCTGCCTGTGCACTGTGACTAATCACCCTTTCTGTGAAGAAATTCCTCCTAAGATCTAACTTGACTCTCCCCAGCTGCAGCTTGAGACTATGAAAAAGGATGTGGGAGAATTAATTTTTAAAACAGGAAAAACACCTGCTGTATGATTTTTAGGCGCTGAAAGATTGGTATAACGGGTATAAATGACAAAGGAAATGCTTATCAGCCAAGAAAGCCAGAACTCAAACAGAAGAATATTAATGGGAATATCTAGACAAAAATAAATGTGAGAAGCATTAAAAAATTTCCATGAATTGGTTCATTGGAAAATATTGAATTACTGAAGAAAAATTACTAAATGAAAAAGCTAGGGAAAATTAATCATTGTGAGACAATACTGCATGAAATGCTGTTAAGCCTATGTGAAATAAGAAAGCATTTCTCTGATTTTTATTGTTGGTATTTGAGAGATGTTTTCTGTGAAGGTTAGCAGATTGTAGCTATGTATTAAAAGAAAATTTCACAATTCCCCTCAGGAAAGCTACATGAATGGACAAGTACTATTTTATAAAATATTTACAATGCAGCTCACATGACATCAGGGCACTGAAAGACTGACAATCTAGAACGTGCAGTGAAAACCTGTGAATACTGAAAGTCAGAGGAGCTGTACTTTGCAGCACTTTTCCTCTCAAAGAACCTCCCTTTGAAGCTGATCAGCACTCTGCTCCTCAGAGGAGTTTGGGATGCTGTTGTTGGCACCCACATCACAAGTGATGAAAAATGTTTACTTAAATGGCCATCAGTATTTGTGTCGAATTCTTAATCTTTGCCTTTGATATGTTCAACAGTGATCCATAGCAAGAACATAAAAGTTTGCTCAGATTTCCCTCAAGGAATGTGAAATACTCTGAACTCCATGAGGCTGTAATGAGATGGAAAATTTCTGCAAGTTTCAGTGGTTTTAGGCCACGAATCATATGTGGTGCTGTGACTCAGGTAGAAGTATACTTTTCCCTTGTCATAAATAAGAGACATGCCTTTCCTCTGTTGTATTTGCTTTCTCTCTAATGAATGTTCTACTTTCTGTGGTACTGTCAAAAATATTATGATATAATATTGTGGGAGAGTAATTCACTCATCTGGGATATGGAAAACCTGTTAATTTTAGAAGGTACATTTAATAAAATTGCATCATTGGCAGACACTTTTTTATATTATACTGTGTTTATTAGAGAGAATCTCTTTGCATTAGGTTCAAAGCCAGAAATTGATTTCCAAAGGAGCTGAGTGCCTAGATTGCTTAGATATTTTGAAAATCCCACTAGGTCTCTGTTTGCAGCTTTTTGGCACCTAAATACCCTCGAAAATCTGGCTTAAGAGTTATAACAGTAACACAAAGGAATAAAAACTTGTTATTCAAGCCAGAAGGATTTTACTGGCACTGAGCATATTGATGTTACACAGGGGAAAATTTACATGTTTTAGAGCACTGAATTAATTATAAAATAAAACTTTGTTTAACATATGTAAAGAATCTGTTCTCCCATACATTATTCCTTGTAGGGATTGAGATAAAGTATTTTACCAAGCTTAGGAAAGCAATAAACAGGGAAATGACCAATGTTCAATGGTTGATTAGTAGTCTGGAAAAAAGACATGGTACAACCAAAACAGATTGCTCAGCCTTAATGCCAGATCCATTCCTATTTTTTTTTCCCGCTTCCTCGCTTCTATTCTTTTGGTTAAGCTTCTTAAAGTCAGCTTGTCCATTTTCCAGTTCCTATGAAAATATATAATTTCAAAATAACCTTGAAATTATTTATTTTGAAAATTTTAATGTTATAAATCCAAAAGAGGAATAGGTATTTTGGCTTCTGGGTTATCCTTAGGCAAGGGAAGAAATGAATCCAGTCTAATCTATATACTGCACTATGTGTATATTTTTTTCATGGCCTCAGGAAGACCCCAGAAAAGCTCTATATTAAAAGCTCTATATTAAATTTGGATGGTTGGTTTCTATTCTGATGAAAAGTATTTCTTTATATCTGCAATAATACAGTTGAAGCAGCAAGAGCTATAGGGCTCAGAAAATGTCTGCAATACTTTTACAATTTAATTTTAAACTCAGGGTCATAATTGCAGGAAATAGGTTTTGACTAATTTTCCTGAAACTCAGCTTGTATATCCATCTGTGATAAAAGAACTGAAAATATAATTGATGGACCTGACTTAGGAATTTTTCCACCTTGCTTCCTCATGAGAACATGAGCAATGGAATTGTAATACATAACGTTTCTGGTGTGTTCTGAAGGACTGGTAAAATCCAAATTCTCTCCTATGTTAAAAATAAAAATCCAGCTTGACATGGGAAGAGGGGTATTTACCACTGAAGTAGACTTGTGCTGAAGTTGATGCAGAGGCTGTAAGCCTAGGTCATTGTGCTCACCTTGCTCTAATAGAAATTCAGGGAGATACAGAACTGGATCCAACATGACACTGGCAAAAACTTTGGTGTAGTTCTGCAATGAGCTGTACCCCCTCCTCCAGGCAAGGAATGTAAATGGCTCCATAATCTCCTCTGTAGCTCTTTGGAGGTCACTGGGTGCTTAAATGCAAAAAGGTGGAACTGAGCCATTCAATCAGCTGAAGACCTGGTTGAAATTCTGAGAGTATTTGGCTGATCAATATTATTTGGATAGGCTTGTAGGCAGTGGCTGTTTTAAGGAATGAAATAATCTTTGCACCTCTCTGGAGTATTTCTGTTCAAGAAGTCCCAGCTGGTAGAGAGTGAGAGATGTTTCTGCTTTTGTATCACCTGCTTTTGATTTCAGAGGGGAAACAAGAAAATTACATCAAAGGGTGGTGGCATTAAATACAGCTGTTGCCTGTCAGAAAGCATGTTACCTCTATTTTACCCAAGTGAAAGCACTTCTGCCTTGCATCATGGATAGGTTCAAAACTCCAGCTGTAATCTCCCAGAGGAAGAGACAGAAAGGGTTGCATTCCCCAAAGCATTCCTGTAGTTATGAAATAAAGTTCAGTAACTTAGTCATTTTTATTCTGCAGAGGAAGATGGGGATGACCAGAAGGATGTTTTTGATGGAACTGGGAAGAAGAAAAGGTTTCAGAGTAGAAAGTGAGCTAAGGTAGGAAAATGTTTATGTGTTTTGAAATAACATGTAGTAATGCTGTTTGAAGCATTTAAATTCAATAAATGTAGTCATACAAGTGACTGTGATTGAAGCTTTTGCTATGTTTTTGGTGGATCTACTTGGCTCTTTCCATTATAAATATGCTTTAGGAGTTCAGTGGATGTTCCTGGTATGTGGTTTATTTCTATTGTCTTCTGGACAGAGAGCAGGGAAAGCACAAAACAGCACAATTTCTAATTTTTCACTTTTAAAATGTGCATTTCTAATTTATCTTAGATCTGTCAATTTTCATGGGTCTGCATATAAATTGTGTCTTTAGCTCATCTGAATCACTCATTGTTTATTTCCCCTTTGAAGTCAGGTTAAGATTAAGCTAAATTTAATGGCCAGTTTCAAAAATGAAAGAAAGTTAAATGTACAGGAATGGAAACTGTGATGGGTTGAGGGGGGCATTTGTCTACATCATCTCTGGTATTATAGTGTTTAATTTTTTTACCCTAACATGAGTGTCAAAGTTATGGCTTTTGCTTTAGTGCAATCTTGAAGAGCACTGGAGAAAAATCTTAGTAGTAAAATACCACAGATGTGGCATTTGAGAGTGGAAAAACACTTCAGATTCAGGTTTGTCTGGTTTCAGCAAACCAACTCGTTTTGGAGGAAGCCTTCCTCCCAACAGTGCTTTACATAAGTGCTGGTTATGTCATGATGCAGTTTTCCAAAAGCTGCATCATTATATAGGTTCTCTGAAAAGCTGGAGGAAAATCAAGTATTGATCCTCTCTCTGGATCTGTCTCTGGAGTGTACAACTGGGTCCTCCCTAGAAAAGTGTATTTCCACAGACTTCTCTTCAATCCCATCAACTTTGAAAGTCTGAGAAAGAAGAGAGGGTAAAATAATTTATAAAGCAAGATTGAAGCAGGTATTGAACAGAAGTAGGCAATTAGCATCTGATACAAAACGAATTGAGTTCTTGGGGGAAAAAAGAAATGAAGAGCGCTGTTCTGGCTCCTACGTTAATAATCTGTAGAGGACTGAGTAAATGCTTCATCTGGGCTGCTTTGACACACAGGTATTTATTGCCAGTATTTTAGGCTTTCTGTAAGTTTTATGAGGCAGGTGTTATGTTTAATTTCAGCTTAGCTGCTACTAGATAAAACAAAACTATTTAACTGTTGATTTTTGCTTTTGAAAATGACAGAGGAAATGCTGAATTTGTTATGTTCTGTGCCAAGAAAATAGCACAGCTGTACAGGTATGAGAGGAAACTGGAGCACAGCAGCTAAACTGCTGCTGTGAGCATAGTTATGGCAAAGTTCCCAGCTCTGCAGCTTGGTGCAAATACGTAACGTATGAATATTTTATATGAAGTGAAATAAACCACAGGAAGCAGAAGTTCTATGTCTCTAACAGTTTGGGTTTTTTTTTTAACTGAAGTATAAAGCTGTGACAGTTTAATTAAAGTAGGACCTAGCAGGGTTAAATAATAATAATAAACCTAACAGTATTTCATGGAGATTCATTTAATCTGTGTTTGTAATCTTTCAGAAAAAGATAAATTGGGATTTATTATTTTTCAATGGACTCTGCTCTACAAGTTCCACTATATGGAGGGAAAAAAATTGTGGTAGAGGATGACATGCATTTCTGAAGTACAGTCCTTTCAGTACCTTTCCTATAGTTCCAATATACAGTGTGTTTATTGCATTGGAGAGTAATTTGATAACAGTTTTGTATGAAGCAATTCCAGTGTTTGTCATTGTGATTTCATGACTTAATGAAATTGGTGGTCACTCATTTGAATACGGATCATAGAGATAGGCCAAGGAATTTTCTTGGTGTTCTGGAAGGTAATTTGCTTTGAAGTGTGCAGTCTGCCTTTAACAGCACACATCATATTTTGAAGTCCATGCCAACCAGTAATTGCCACCAGTGGTGTCCTCTCTACTGTGACAGGCTGATAGCTCCACTTCTCCAGCTGTTACAGAGGGCTTGCAGAGCAATCTGTCAGGTCCTCCTTTGTCAATTTACTGTATATGCAGAAGGCTGTCACCCTCATGGGCTACCAGAAAGTCATAGACTTTCAGATGGATGTGGCTGCCATTAAGACAATTTATGTTCCAACTCTAGCTTTCCTTTTGTGAAAATAGTGTCAAATAGTGGCCCTGCCTGCTTGTGCTTTTCCTGCAAGGAGTTTAGGAATCTGTTGCCTTATAGAAATTAATGTTGGAATATATTTTCTAGGTACTTAAGTTCTACAAGTTGATGGAAATGAAGAATTTTCTCCTTTCTCTCATGTCTTTTTCTGTGGGTGACAGCACCCTTGTGGGATGCATAGGGAGCAGGAGCACTCAGAATCATTCAAAATCTCCTACCAAATCTGTATGTTTCCAAACTTGCTGAGAAGCATCAGCAGGCCAGATAAAAACTTACAGATCATCCTAAGTATGCACATAATCTTTTCTTGAAACACAGCTTTGTCCCTGTCCATTATTTTCCTGTGACGGGTACAGAAGTGTCTCTTTTTAATCTTTAAAAGGATCACCTTTTAATCAGGTGATCCTCTCCAATGTTGTTCTTGTACAACAGTTGAAGTTTACTGTAACAATATTTGTGCTATTGTATTTTTAGGCAATGTACGCCATATAATATCTTGAATAACAATTCAAACTGTAAATTTTGTATTCACTGAACCATCAGTTTTGTTATACTGGCTTAGTATAACAGAAATGGTCTTTATATGGAGCATGTAATAAGATTTAATTCAGGAATATTTGGCAGTGCCATATGTAATGAACAGCTTCACACAAGTACAGAAAACTTAAGTATCCAGAAATATATTTCTAGCTGTAAAGTTTTAAATAATTATTGTTAACTGACTTTTTAATGTTGCAAATCTTTCACTCATTGATGAGGAGTATTGGAAAGAGGCTGTCAGGTGTTGTCAAGCAGCCTTTTAATTATGGTACTGCTTGTGTAAGCAAAATATTTTCAGAATTGCAAAGAATGTGTATTAGGTTACTGTCTATGGAAGGTAAATGATCCTTCAAGAAAGAAAATGCTGCACTTACAGGAGCTGTCAGATTACAGTCTTTCCTCAAGGCAGAGTCAGTGACTAGAATAAATATATGGTGATATGAAAACTTCCGTGCTTCCCACATCCTAAAGTACAGTATACACTACAATTGTCAGGAAGTGGATGGTAAGTAAATACAGAAATAACAGCTCTGTATCTGTGTACAGTTGGATTCAGTGAAAAAAAAAGAAAACTTTTAATGTACTTCTTGACAGTGATTCTGTCACTCATATTGTGGCTGAGAACAACTCTTACCTGGAGGTGCTGGACTGGCTGAAAGGACAGGCTGTGGGTGACAGCTCTAAGTTTGAACTACTGGACATCTCCTGGTTTACAGCCTGCATGGAGGCAGGAAGACCAGTTGATTCAGAAATGAAGTACCGTCTCATGGTAAGACAGGTAAGACATCCTGCAGTGTGAATACACTGATATCCAAAATGAATGGCTGGGATTTTATTTATTTTTTAACCTAATATATATATATATATATATAATTGTGTTGTGTTATTATTTAAAATTTTTTTTTCTATGAAATTTATATGAGTAATTCACACAGATTCAATAGAGTAGAAACATCTTCCATGCCTTCTTTATCAGTGTCTGGTAATGCTGAGTTACTGTGTCATCACAGAGTACAAACTGGTCAATACAGAATCGCAGAATGGTTTGGGCTAGAAGGGACCTTAGAGATCGTCCAGCTTCCACTCCCCTGCCATGGGCAGGGACACCTTGCACTACATCAGGTTGCTCAAAGTCCCATTCAATCTGGCCTTGAGCACTTTCAGGGATGGGGCAGCCACAGCTTCTCTGGACAACCTGTTCTAGTGCCTCAACACCCTCACTGAAAAGAATTTCTGTTGTATATCAGATTCAAATTTCCCTTCTGAGGGTGTAAAGCCATTACACCCTGTCTAGTGACTGTGCCCTTGTAACAAGTTCTTTCTTCAGCTCTCTAGTAGCCCCTTAAATTACTGGAAGGCTGCTCTTAGATCTTCCTGGAGCCTTAAGGGGCTGAAGAGCCCTGGCTCCTCTGCAATATCCATCAATGAGGCACTTGTTACTGTTCTGGTACTTGTGCTGTTTGCTCAAATACATCAATAACATGGTAAATATCCCAGGGAGAGCAATGCTGTTGATGGCATACTTGGCTTCCTCAAAACAATGCAAAAATATTAGAACTTTTGCTGTTGCAGGGTGATCAGGTAACAGCTGGGTCCTTGAAGGACCTGTGAAAAGAAGACTGATGTAGTCTGTGGACATGTGTTTACAGACTTGGCACCATCAAGTAAAATTGTGCTAAGAGAAAGAAAAGTTCTATTATATTTTTTTTATCTCTAAATGGAAGCTGTAAGTCAGAGGATGTTGAAAATGGCAGGCTGATGATTTGATGCATGGTGTTTGACCTTGAAGCAATGGATGATGATGTTTTCCTCTGATCTATATCTGACAAGTTACCTGCTAATTTCTCACATTGGAGCATGTGAGGAGCACTGGTACTCAGTACCTCGGCACAGACTGTGAGTGATGGGGGTTTGGTGGGGATGCCAGGGTGCTGTGCCCAGCACTGAGCCATGAAATAGGCCCAGCACTGCAGCTGGATGAAGCTGTCCCCTCGTTCTGCACCCGCCCGAGCCTTGCGGTGGTGGGTTTCATGTGCACCCGCAAAGAAATTTATTCATACGTCAAGAGAACTACAAGTCTGATCTAAAGCTCTCTTAAATAACGTGAGGGATTCCTGCTGATTCCTGAGGGTCTGGATTAGGCTCTCTCTCCACACTGGGACCAGAGGAGGATGTGCAGCATGTGCCCTCCTCTGAGGCACAGAATGCCTGAATATTTAACAGCAGCATTGCGCTGTTTGCTGCTTCATCATTTTGGTATTTAGATTATGAAGGATGATTCATGAATACCATCTTTTCCCAGGGAAAACTGTAGCTCCTGCTTATTTTTTTTCCAGTCATATTGCATTTTCGTTGCCAGAAAAAGATTTCCCAGCTTTTTGCATACTAGAATTACTGTTTAATAACAGTTTGGGTTGGGGGGGAGGGGGAAGTGAATACACCAGATGGAGCTGTCGCTCTCAGGCTCAGCATGATTCCATGACAGAATGTGTGTTTATATTTGAAATCCTTCCAAGGATATATTTTTGCAAAAAATTTATAACATTTTTCAGTGAATCTGCTGGAGGGAGAATAGACGAAAGAAATTAACACAAAAAGAAAAAATATAAAAGGAAGCCTTGTAACTACTGCTTTATTTTATCTTACAGGCCATAAAAATATAAATACAGGGAATGCAAAGAAGTTCTCTAAACAAGTAATGCATCAAAACATGAACAAAATCCTGTGAACCTTCCTGAGAGTTTCACATCAACATTAAAAGTAAAACAAATTACCTTTTATGTACATTCTTAATTTTGGCAATATGAGCAGACCTATAGATTCAGATAGATCAGAAAATGTGTTTTCATAAATTTTTTTCCTTTTCAAGGATAGAAACACCTTTTTTTTTCCTCCAAAATTCCTCCAAATTTGTTTGAAGTCAATAAGAAGGTTTTTTAAGTCAATGAAACTGCCTTAGTTTTATGTAAAACTCCTTTTGGAATATTGGTATAGCATAAACTTCTGAAAAAGGTATCAGCACTGTCAGGAGATCATAATTATACTCTGAGACTGGCTTTGCAAGTAAAAGCTTATATTTTTATTGAAACATAAAGATTTCATGCTAATAAATGTAGAGTACAATAAGCAAGCCAGTGACAACTATACTGGTATTTTTAAAGCTTATAAAACAAATCTTAATTATGTAGTTGCTCTGAAGTAATAAACATTTTGTAAAGCAAACAAGGAGAAAAGAAGAATTCTAGGAGTGTAGCAAATTTTAAGATAATTTTATTGTTGCAGTGTCACCATGCTAATTCTTTTTTCTGCCTTGAGAAATGAGGAAAGATTGAAGTAAAGGTTAATTTTCTTTTTAAGTACTAGACCGAACTCATACATAATGTAATTTAATTGGAATTTCACTGAAGACAAATTTGGTTCGTTATGTCAGCCTTGTAAAATGTGAAATGAAAGTGAATTAACAAACCTTGAATTCAAGCTAGATCATTAAGGTTTTGAAGTAAAAGGGATGGATTGCAGTGGGGGAATGTTTTGGGTGAAATCTTGTCCCCATGTAGTTTTGTGGTCAAATGCCCATTAATATCAATAGCAGTAAGATTTCATCCAAATAGTAGCCTATTTGGAAGGTTATTACTCATTCTCTCATTCAGGACATTTGTTTTACTGCATTAGTAAAAAGAAATGCCCTTCTTAATGCAAAACAGGGGGAATAAAGTCAGAGTTACAGACCATTAGCTAACATCCTAATTACAATTGTCATTAAAGTACATCTTTCTGTGGTAGTGACTGATCTAAGAGATGCTCTGATGTCAGTGATTTATAGAGGATAAAAGGTTGGTTGACCAGATTTAAGATGGACAGAATTATTATTGATTTGTTCAGTCACGGTTGACTTCTAGGGTTAGTAGCCATCATTTAGTTTAATAAGCTTTGGAAATATGGTAGCCAAGTATCTGCTTTGAAAGGGAAGCAAAATATTTCTGTGGCAAAGGTCAGCCCTTGTGCAGAGACACCTTTCCTAGCACAAGCAGATCGGTATCCTTGACCATAGCAGGACATGGACATGAATAGGTACACAAGGGCATCCCCGCACGGCAGAAAGTACTCATGCTTCCTGGGATATGGAGGAGAAAGAGACGGAGGGGAGGCTTTCAGAGGGATAAAAAGAAAGGAAGAGATCCATAAGGGTTGCTGCACACTCAGCAGCCTTAAGAACTGTGCTGTGACTGCATCTCTTCTGCCTTTTCCTCAGTCAGAACCCAGAAGTTGTTAGCTAATTAGGTTTTTTTTGTTTGGTTGGTTTTGTTTGTTTGTTTTTTCCTAGAAAAGAGATTTATTTATTTGAAGAAAGGATTTTTCTCCACATTAGAAAAAGAAAGTATCATCTTTTGATCCTTTGTCTTATCATGTGCCAGGAAACATATTTAACATTTTCTGGAGCATCTCACTCTGTTTCATTGTGAAAGAGAGGCTGTAAGTAATGGAAGAAATCCTTCATACTGACAGTCTGAGTTTCTCAGGAAATAAAAATGAAACGTATAAACTGTCAGCCTTCTCTTCATAAAATGCTGGATATCAGAGGACTTTATTATTTGGTCAGTGCTGCCTGGGCTTTACAGAGCTGCTGGCTGCTTGTCTGTGAGCACTTCATTCACTGCTGCTTCATTTTGTCCCTGTTATTTCCCTATGTCGTTACACTTCTTGGTGTGTAAAAAATAATTGACAAAGAGCAAAGTCATCCCCCACAATATTAATTCTGCAACCAAGTCTGTCTGCTTTACAAATTGATGCTAGTGGTATAGGCTGTTTCTCCTGCTTATGCCATGTGGAAAATGTCACTGTGAAAGAGTACAAGTGACATTCACTGCAGCTGATGTGAGGTAGGAACTCTGACTAGCTCTAGTGATTAGGTAGCCTACACATGTGGATATTTTTCAGTAGTTGCCCCTGTGCAGTGTACTGCAAATTCATTTTAATGTAGAGTTATCTAAAAAAAGAGGAATTTTTAATGCTTATATTTTTCCATATTTCTTTCTATCTTTAGTTGTTTGTTTCCATTACTAGAAATTATTTTTGGTCTAATGAGTTTCCAGGATTCCTTGTTCTACACTGTAATTGCTATTGATGGAAGTTTAGGTTTGTCCTGTAATCTGTACAATTTTTTCCCCATCCAGTTTTCCCACCAAATATCAGTTTGAGCAGTATCAATTCAGCTCATGTTCTGCTGCTGATAGGTCATTTCTACAGTTCACATGTAGGCATTATAACATTCCCTGCAAATCAGACTGTATTAATTATTGTTTGTCAGATGTTTTTCCTGTTAATTTCTATCCAATTTTTTTTCTGTTCTTATATATAATCAAGGCCAGTTAACTAAATGCATAACTTTTACTGATTAAGGAAAATGCTCAAATATCTCTACTAAGGCAGGAATAGGATGTTTATGTCTTGTCTATCACACTCTTAAATGCGTAGATTTTCTGCATTAGTTTTGCCCTCCTCCACAGTACCAGCTAAGTCTGCATGTAGGGCGCTTGTTCTTTGTGTGTCTGTGTCCTAGAGTAGGTAACAGCTTATTATATATTCTATTCACTAACATTCTGTTTGTTCACAGTCTTTGCAGCTGGCACTATCATTTCAAGCAATATATTAGCACTAATCAATCATAGTTTATATCATTTAAAATCAATTTTAAAATATAATTCAGGAATGTGTGCAAGAGAGGATGAGTAGTGTTGCTGTCCTGACTGAAACCCATTTTGGTTATTCCCAAGGCTGGTCTTATGCACAAAGTTGCTTTCTTCCTTTCAGAGTCTGCTATGAGAACCACCATATAATTCACTGCTCCTTCAGTAGTGCAAGCAAATACCTTTTGTGTGTATGTGAATACTGTTATTTAACTACTTTGTATCAAATACAAAGGCAACTTAGAATGAAATTATAATTGTGGGTGTGGTTATGAAGATACACACCTGCTTATAGGTTTGCTAGCCTTTGTGCGATTGGATACAGGGGAAAAAGGGGTCATCATTCCATTATTGGTGTGAAAATTCATTTATGTATTTTTATGGCATTTTAAATTGTAATTGTTGAACCCTTTCCCTGTGGCTTTTGGATAGTGCAATGGAATAGGTTTTTGCCAAAACTTTTCAAGCAAAAGGATCAAGACCAAAAAATACAGGGAACTGTTGAAGGTACTTCATGTTCCTGAAGTATTTCAGATTTGGCACATTAAAGTGAAAGAATTGAAGGACTGGATATATAAAGCAGCAGAAAAACCAGTGTGAGATTGCCTTTTCCTAGGTGCTTCCTAGTCAGGACATTCACATGTTGAGGACTTGTGCTCAGGACTCCCTTTTGCCAGTGGGGATGTGACTCTGCATCCTGCCTTTCAGGAGAATTCCCATCTTTCAGGGGTGGGTTTCTCACAGACCTGTATGACCTTGGTCTATTTTGCATGGAGCAAAATTAGGTGAAAAGTGAATGAGCATGGAGGCAGCCTGGAGTTTGGGAAATGCCCATTCAAGTCTTGGCATTTGGCTCCTTTTCCTTTCTTTGGTGAATGTGTAAAAATGATGTCTGGATTGGATCAGCATCTGTGGGAATTGGCTAAGGGAGCAACCACATCACCAGTTGGCTGTTGGGTGAATGAAGGATGGTGATTACTCTTCTGTAGCTGTTTATAAATGTTTCCTGCACTCTAAAATGACCAAAATTAAACGTTTAGCTGAATGAATTAAATCCAAAAGAAAAAGTTTTCTATCATTTTACCTGCAAAAGGGGAGAAAAAAATTTTGTATGAATTGGAAATCGAGTTTCCTCCACTACTAAATTTAGCTACAGACTGAAAAAGTCAATTGAACGTTTCCCTTTGGTCTAATATCCTTAATCTTGTATTGAATAATCTAGTGTTTTCTGTGAAAACTCTGTGTTTTAGAGTTTATCTGCTCTTAAAGTTTTGTAGTTTTTCAAAGTTACTGCAGTAGTGAGAGTAGTAGAGACACACATAATTTAGAAAGACCTGTTTTGTTTGTTTGTTTTTTTTTTTTTTAATGGCAGTGCCATTGAAAACTCCCTGTAAGAACTTACTGCAGAAAATCAAAAATCCCAGTAATCACCAGATAAACTGTACTGTCAGTTCAGCCCATGTGAAATCACCTGTTTTTCATACCAGGATGGCAGGAGCATTATTATTTTCTTGCCTGCTCTTCAAAGGTTTGTATTTTGGGCTCATGAAATGTACTTTTTTTTTTGTATTTTTAAGCTATTTGCTGTGTGTGTCACTAACTCTTCTTTTTTTTTACCCTTGTTAGGAGCAATCCCAGTCTCCTCCTCTGAATACACCTGAATTGGAAATGCCAGCATTTATTGCAACAAAAGTATCTCAGTATTCATGCCAGAGGAAGACAACTTTAAATAACTACAACAAGAAATTCACGGTAATATTTATTCTATTTATAAAATAAAAACTAGTATAATTAGAGTAATTACTGTAATACTTGCCTCAGTGTTGCTCTGTCACCCTCAGCAAATTCAAGAGTAAACAGGCAGCATAATAACAATTAAAAAAGTTATAAATCTGCCATACTTAAATTAAAATTGAGTGCAAGCTTAATTGCATCCTCTAAGTATTGCTGAAAGCTTAACACAGTGGATCTTTAAATACATTTATAGCTTGTAAATACATGAATTTTTAAAACTAATGATAGAATAACATTCCAAAAAAAGTCTTTCAGCCTTTCATCACAGTCTTATTTGACAAGCTGGAAGTATGATAAAGTTTGGTTTAGGTGAGTCCAAGGTTCTTCATGGTTCCTGTGCTGCCTTTTGGTTTGCCCAAGTTCAGTTCTTCAAAGTATGGTACTAAACTTCAGATTTTCACAACTGGGCAATTATGAAAACAGATTGCATGTTAATTACTTTAACATCACAAAACCCCCTTTGAATTGTCTCGTTAAACAGAAATCTTGGAGACTATCATATATCCTATTTAATGCCCATAAAATTTCACATTTCAGAGGGTATGAAGGGTCTGAGTCCTCTTGTCTAAATCCTCTGGAGTTCTTGTGCTTAATGGCTCCTTATGGCTCTAAATACTCAGCGACCACTGTTCAAAAGGAAACATTTCTCAGAGACTGTAACATAGTGCAGCATTAATGTATCTGGCATAGTTACATGCATATGTTTCAACTATAACATCAAACACTTCCTCATTTTTCTAAAGCTTTATTATGTATTTTGTTATTATTTATAATTTTTATGATTCTACTTTGTGTGTTCCTGTAAATACACAAAAAGATTTCAAGAAAATATTATTTGTATGATTCATATAAAAAGAATAGCAAAAGATACCAGTTATTTGTGAATATAAATCCTTTACAAGGTAAATACTAAAACCTCTGGGTATTCAAAACTAAAGATAAACCTACAAGGAACTCAAAAGCATCTTGCTCTGGGAATGCACAGTTAAAAATTAAACATCCTAAAATTTGGCTTGTAGTTATGTTTCGAAATAATCAGCAATTATATCAAATATGTGTTACTATTTATGGTAATCAAGGAGGTTAAACTGTTTGCTTATTTACAAAAAGTCCCTCTTTGAGCAACGTGATGGGAATTGAATTTTGACCCTGTTTTGAGCCTGAGGTTGGACTAGAGACCTCCTGAGGTCCCTTCCAACCCCAACATTACCAATATTCCCAAAACTGCTGCTTTTGAAATGGCTGCATTTCCCTACCTCCTCCTAGAAAAACAAGGCTGTGATTCTAACCATTTAACCTCTTGAAAGCAGCAGTTCTTTTTCACACTTTATAAATATCAAATACAAGCTGCTGTAGGGGAAAATGTCAGACCAAACATAGTATGACTGAAACATTATGTAAAATATCAAATTTCTTGGAGAAATAGGAAGTAAGTGTCTTAGTTCTACACTTCCTGAAAACAGTAGAATGTGGGACCTGGCTCTTTGAGTTTTCTGTATTACAACTTTTGGTCAGACATTCAAAGGTAAAAAATTAAAAGGAATGTAATGGATAATGGCAAAGTAAAATGGTTGCTCCCAGAAGGCACAAAGTTGTTCATTTAATTGTCATTAGCATTTAGACCACATTCTTTGAGTGGTTGCTGTTATACCTGTGTTTCACAGAGTCAGTCCTAAATTACTTCCAGGTTTATCAATGCAGCAGTCTTAATGTCAAAGTACAGCTTATATTTGGTACGTGAATATAGCTGAACACATTAGAAGTGGGGCAGTTTGATGATGGGAGTACTGAGATTCCCTTCTGTTACCCTATATATCAAACATTTCTGGGTAGACCCTGGCTTTTGTGGTGACAAAGGTGCCAGTTTTTAATCTTCAACATATTTTGAGAGCAAAAATTTCTCAGAGTTCATGCTGTGTTTTGTTTCCAGAGGTGGAACTGGGCAAGTTTATATTTCATGAGTCTGTCTAGAATCAGCATCTTGACAGTTGTAATGGAGCTCCTCAGGGCTGTTGCCCTTATTCCTCACAGCCAAAGCTGGCAATGACAGCTGAAGGGCTGGGTGTTTGTGGGCTGCCAGAACTGGCCCATGCCTTGGAGAACTGCCAGTTAGTCTGCCTAATGCCACAGGAGTCTGATTTTTAGATTTGCTGTTGTTTTGTTGGACTTGTATTAATCCTGTAATTCATGTTCTCAAATAAAAGCATTCCAACAGATTTCTCAGTGCAAACACTTAGCAAATGCACTGAAGCATTGGTGTAATTCACTTGTGCATGCTGTGGGCAGCCAACCATTAAATGACAGATTTTCCTTGGGTCAATACCATACATCCTGAAAATTGGGTCCAAACCATCTTGAGTTAGGTGTTGATGGTAGCATTTTGTTATAATAATCTTATTCTGTGGGTCAGGCTTGTTCCTTTTTCTTGCAGATATTCTGGTTTTTTTGATTAGCTTGTCTTCTGATTGTGCCCATAACAGGGGTACAAACCTATTATTTGCTAATGCATTCTTCAATGAATTCTTGGATTCTTCCTTTTACTGGACTTTACCCTGATATGTTGTATCCAGTTCCCCTTTCAAATAAGTAGGAATTGTGTTTGAGAAAGTTTAGTAATTACATTGGAACAGTCACTAATAGGCAGCAAGGTGGGTGCAGCAGCATTTATATGTCCTGGTTTCTTGGGAGAGGCACTTTAGGGGACTTGATTTCTGAAGAAACTGATAATTAGTGATCCTTTTTTAATCTTGAGTCCTGTTCTGCATGTATTTCATCATGAAAGAGTACTTATTGAAAAAAAGTAGCAGAGATATTTGATTACAGCTCATGAGGAAAAAGTGGTGGTTTAATATACTAGGTGCAATTTCTATATTCAAATGTCTCATGTTTCCTGTCTGTTGTAATAACCAGAAAATAACTTGCAGAAAGTTACAACAAACAGTTTTACACCTGGAAGAAGCTACAGAAGGGTTGACATAAATTGCAGATGTTAAGGTTTTGTTATTGCATTCAGGATGGGGCAAGTCCCAGTCAAATAATTTATGAGCTCTTGTGTAGTGAGACTTGTGGTGTGAAGAATACACTAAGAATGTCAGATGCCAAGGAGTAGACACTGGAACCATGATTCATTTGATGGGGTAGGGATGCAACTGCTTCAGACTGGGTCTCTGTGCAGTCTTTGGGTCCCAGTGTCCTCTGGCCTCGAGGCAGGCAGGCCGGGGACCCCTGCCATGGGCTTTGCTGACCTGGCTGCTCCAGGGATGGCCCTGAATGCATCACCCTACTTACAGGTGAGCTGTGGCTGCTCAGATGGGCAAAGCTGCAAAACAAAAGAGCAGATCCTTTGAGTAGAGTCTGTACCTTAGCAAGTTTCCTTTATGTTTGTCTTAAATATTAAAGTTATTATGGAATATAATATTCCAATATTGTTCTCTGGCTTATTTGTAGCTATCTTCCCTCTCCCACTGAAAATATACCCTTGGAGGCTGCATTATGTTTTCTTGTGCTAAAATAAAAGGAGTCATTCTGCTGTGCCCAGGAGGGGTTGTTGGATTTGAATACTAATATCAGACTGCAATAAAATTCAGGAAGACTTTCTTCTGTGAGGAAAAAACAATTTAATTCTTACAGAGGAAACTAATTAAGTCAGAGGCAAATGGTTCTGTGATTCTGAGGCTTATTGCTAATGCTACTAGATGTTACTCTGCTTTGCCTGTTACTCATGGTAATGAGAATGTGGATGTTTAGCATGGGAAAGATGCCTGGTTTCCTTTCCACTATGTTAGAGAAAAATAAAACAAATATTTCTTTCTTCTTTTGCATCTACCGAAGAATGTATCAGTTTGAGGAATGGCTCAAGCAGTTATTATTATTATTTCATTTTAAAACATACCTCAGAAGATCCTCAATTTTAGTTTTATTATGAGCTTGGGAGCTATGTAGTAGAAAACTACTAACTGAATGGATACTCTTAATAACATGTAGCGTCCCACTGACACAGCTTGCTTCAGTAAAAATTCTGCAGACTGCACCTCTGAATTATGATGTGAATGTGTGCAAAGTGTATACCTATTCAAAATTAATTGATTGTTTGGTCTAAAGAGTAAATATGTATTCAGATTTTTAATATAAATGGGAAAGTGCTTCATATAATACAGAGTACAAATACTTTGCTACTTTTCAGCAGTTTAAATTTGTGTGATACATCAATCTATGTTACTTTCTTTGACCATATTAATGTATGTAATATATATGTATTTTATATTTCTTATTACACAGTGCATCTATGTAGGTCATTGTTTTTATGTGATTAACACTAACTGCATTTCTGTGCTGTGTCAGCAGGCCTTTTTTCACATTTGTATTGTTTTCTTTTACATAATGTGGAATGATATGAAAACTTCTCATGAATTCCTCTCTGTTTCAAGAAATGAACTTGTAATTGTTTGTTAATATGAGGAGCAACTGGAACTAATATGTTTATTTCTTGTAATGGTGTTTATGTAGGGACCCTGAGATCATGCACATCAGCTCTTTTGTTTTTCTAGCTGATGTAAAATAACATGATAAAATCTTAGGATCTGGGAAAGTGTTGGTATTTCAGTCCAGATACAAAACCAAAAAAGTCAGGCTGAACAAAAAGAGGTAATTTCGTTTATTTGGAAGTCACTTTAGTCAATATTGCAGGTTGGCCTAAATTGCTTAATTCTTCTTGAAATAAGCACCTGGAAGTATTTATTTGTTCTCTCAGCCTATAAAAAGGTTATTCACATGCCAGATATCTCCTCCTACCAAAATACAAAATTGAGATTTACAGTGGTGGAAGAGAGAGGAAAATTATTTGAATGAAAGCTGCATTCTAATACTTTGATTGATTTTGAATGGTCATTAAACACTGATGATGCTGATGTGATGAGAAGTAGGACCTGTTCTTTGGATTTGCAACCTACTAAATAAACACGTACAAAAGAGTGATTGAGAGGGAAAGCAGCTTAACTCAAATTGCTGTTCTGAGTATAACAGGTTCTCAAACACATACCATGTCAGATTTTTGAGTTTTTTTAGTCACAGTGTGCTATTTAGCTCTGGCAGATTGAATTTACTTGTATAACTGCGTGTTAATATTGTTTTAATTTGTGCTGCAGTAGTGTTTGCAGACTCAAGTAAGATAGGGGCCTTTTTTATGAGAGATGCTGTACAATCACATTGTGAAAGCATTCAAGCCCTGGAGTGTTCACAGTCCTAATAGAGAGTAAATGGAAGAGAAACAACGGTAGTGAGGTGTGAAGCAGCTTTCCAAGGTCTGGCAGCAAAGCTGTGAGTGTAGGCATGGCTGTAAGACAAGTGCCCTCTCCATGAAGCTGTAAGAAATACTTTACAAAACAGATTAGATTTAAAAATGGGGTTGTCGTATAATATTTATGATTTCTGTTCTAGCAGAGTCTTAAATTGAGTTTATTAGAGACTGTTTTGCAAGTAGCAATGGACCAGCTCTGACATTGTTGTTGAGAATAGTTTAAAATAGCACACGGGACCATTAATTTGTTTTGCTTTTTTGCATGACATGTAATCTGATAATCAGGCTGAATGTTATTGGGTCAGCTGTTCAGCAGACAGAAAGTAGCGTGGTCTTACTGGTTATTATTTTTTTCTGAGAATCATTCTTATATATTAGTTGAGAATCTTGCACTTTTTGTTGGCTTCACGTGAGTGATTTTTAGCATTTATAGTATTTTAGTCTGCATTTTTTGCACATGTAAGATGATTACTGGTAACTTGATGATATTAATGATATTTTATCTTATTAGTTCTTAAATACTAGATATTAAATGAGAGTCAGAATTCCTCTCTACATCTGTCACCTTTCTTATTTTTAACACAATCCAGCAAAATCTTAGTGGGTCTTGGATCTGATCCATTGGAATCTGGAAGTGCATTTAAACCCCACATTTTTGCATTGTCCAAGTCTCACCAATAAACATTCCACAATTTCAGAGACAGAAGTAAAATTTTCAATAAGTGGAGAACTGAAATGTACCCCAGCTCTGTTGCGTATTTAATTAGAGCAGACCATGCAGAGTACTCTGAAGATAATGAAATTCTCATGTGCTGGAAATCTCTGGAAATATAGTTTCTTTTTAAGCTGGTACTTTTTAAACAGGTAATCTGAATATTAATCTGATTGATAAAGTGAAGGTGACGTGCTTCATGTAAGACATATAGTAGTTTAGAATAAATGGTCAATAACTTTCCTTTTTATGTCACCATAAGCTGACTTCACCAGAGATCTATTAGATGGTAAGTTTTTATTAAATAATATTAGATTTTTCTTCTCTCCTCTAGAATATTACTCAATATGAACTATACTGTTTAATAAACAGCAAGTCCAGTTGCTGTCTTTTTAAATAATGTTTTATTAAAAAGAATGTTAAAAGTAGCTTTATGTTAAAAGACATCTGTAATTAGTTGCAGCATTTGCAGGCAATGCAGTTTTTTTGCACAGAGAATAATGAATATTCAATATTCTTTAATTGTTTATTTTCAACAGCTTAATGAGCTTCACAAAGGCAGGAAAACACTGAAAAAATGTAAACTAGAATCATAAAAATGCTTTGATTATATTTTCTCACTGACTATCAACAGCCTCTCGGTAAAATGTTCCCTGTGATTGTATTTTTCAGTAGTGATGGTGACACAGCTTTTCTGAGAGCTGCCCTCCTGGCAGTGGGAGGGGACTGACACCTCTCTGCAGCAGGGCTGGTGCTGGGACATGCAGACACAATTATCACAAGGGCTGATTATTCTGTGTAGAACACTTCACATGTGCATGTGAGAAGCTGCCTTTTGGGAGTGAGAAAAAACATCCCAGGACTTTTTGAGCACTCTAATCAAGAAGATGGCTTTGCCAGTCTCGGCCATTATTAACACATGTTGCTGAGCAGCTGCTTTTGGGAACCACTTTTCTGGCTGTATTTATCAGTATAGACTATTTAAACAAGAATGTATCAATTATATCTTTTTAGCTCTGCCCCTGATTAATGCTTTTAGTATTAACAGGAAATTTTTTGGCAAACACTGCTTTCTTGAGTACTTGTGTGTACAAGTTATAAAGAAAGAAGAAGAAATCAAAAGTAATCTTAATTTCGTGAGTTAAACTGTTAATCTCACTTGAAGCAACAATTGGCATATTCTATTCCAAAGTAAGAAAGAATCTTTGAAGCTGAAAATGAATAAAAAATATAAGAACTAGGCAGGGAATCCAGAAAATCTCACAACAGAGGAAACATCTGAGTTCTGTTATTGCACTTGTAAAATGTATTTCCCTATTTGCTTTGCAGTATTGTCTGTGCTGTGTCTTTTCTTCCATATACAAACTGGGATGAATCCATGTTGCTCGTGACCTCAAACTGGTAGTTTCACCTATTTCTGCAATGAAACTCTAATGTGCCTGTCTTACCAAAAGTTGTGTAATTACTTACAATGTAATCTGTCAACTAAATAAACATCTTAAATGTGGAAAAAAAAGGACAGTTGAATAAATCCAACAATTAGCTACTGCAAGAGATTTAGAGACAGATGTTAGGAAGCTAAGGCTTGTACATTATTTTTCTAATAGATTGTTATTTGGGGGTTTTGTTTGGTTTTTGGGTTTTTTTTTTTTTTTTTTTGTCCCTCAAAGTAGCATTCTCTTTCCTCTCTTTGATTCCTTATACCCAAGGGCTAATTGAATGTAAATGATAATTTAAACCTCCAGATCAGGCATGTTGCAACATTCCGTAAGCTCTTTCATGGAATGTTATGAAAATGGAATTTCACAACCCTTACTAATGAGGGTAGCTGATAAATAAATATGCAGCTAAGGGAAGGATTCTTGGAGTGAGACAAGCAACAGGTGGCTGATTCTTAGAGAGACCAAGGAGTGAAGTTATATGGGTGCTATAGGACAAAACAAATTGTAGCAAGCCCTATTTTGATGCACTTTAACATATTAGTGCAGAAAAAAAAAAAAGGGGATCTCCTATTTTTGTTTTGTTAAAAGGAATGTTTTGCAAATCGTAGGGTAAGCAAACACAATGTTTTCTTGAAGATTTAAAGTGAAACCTTCATTTTGTTTCAATTAGACTGTAATGTTTATTATATAAACAACTCACCATGTCAGATGGTCTAGTTTTATAGAATTGACTCAACAATGAAATATAATACATAAATAATCTACATTCATTGTGAAAGGTATGTTTAATTTTAAGAAATTGTTCTATTTTAGTGATCTAAATGATGGTAGCTCAAGTAATACCTTGTTGTTTAAATGAAGCTGTATTCATTCAATGTAGGGTGATAGATGTTGTTTTCTATTCCATAGATATAATAAAGAGCTGACTTTACTGGATTTGTTGTCATGTCAGTGGGCTTGGGAGAGATCCACCTGGAGATATTATGCATGTAGAATTTAGGGGGTACAAGGCCTGCTGGTTTTTACTGGCCTTTATCTTCCAATATAAAACACACAAAGGAAAATGTAAAATTATTTTTCTTTAAACTATATATATGAACTGTATATTCATTACAAGTGAAATTAATTTTGAAGCTAAACATGAACAGTGAGTGGAGGAAAAGGACACAATCTTTTTCCTTCCTACTCTCCACGGCAGTCATTGCTCTGGTAAGCCATTTGTTGTCTCTTGATTTTACTCACATCTATTCCAGACACATTTCTGAGCAGGCACTTGGCCTACAGCTCTGGGAAGTGGTAATTGCAGGCAGATGCACACTGACAGCCATTTCTCTGGCTTCTAGGTAAATATTCAGAACAGCAGAACTTTCTTCTAGCAGTAGTCCACTCTTAAGCATTTCTGAAGAAATCACTTAATTTTGTATTCTTGAAATTTTTTGAGGTTTGTGAAAGATTTCACTCAGGACTTGTTTTTCCAGCTGCTAATCAAATGAAAACCTTCATAAGTTCTTAGGTTATTCACAAAATTATTTTGCAGCATTGGTTCTCTCTCAAAAGCTGATGCTCTACAGTGGCAAACAGCAACAAAATTCCTCTACACCACTGTATGGTGTGTTCCCTGCATTTAATTTCTAAAATTCTCTGCTATTAATATAAATAATTTGTAATATATTCTGGGAGAGAAACAGACCTCATATGGATGGTTTAGGAAAAAAAAACAACTATACAGACTTTCCTCAGGTGTTTTTGGGTGCAATGTTAAATAAACTAAACCATAGATGGCTAAAGAGCCATAAAGAAAATGTGTTTGTATTTGCAAGGTTATACATCTGAAAAATGAAGAAAAGGAAAATTTGTTCCCTAAATTACCAAGTGGAAGCATGGCTACACATTCAAAAAGACGAAGGTGGTTTCCAGTATTGCCAGAGATTCCTATTTGGTTGTATCTGAAAATGCAGATGTTACATGCTGATCTGCTGAATTACTTATTGTTGGGCATAATTCTAAAAATTAAGGCTCTATTTGACGCTGAATGATAAGATCCACATGGAATACAGAAGGCAAATCTCACAAAATGTTTTTAAGCTTGGCTCTAAAATACCATTTTCATGGTACCTGGTAAACTTCCAAGTTGCTAGAAAATTAGTCTGCCTTTTTTTTTTTTTTTTTTTTTTTTAGTAAACTCTGTCTTTTCACTGTAGTGTGAAGAAGTAATTCTTGAATTAGCATACAAAGTAACCTTTCTAAGGAGCATACTGAATATTTTAAGCTTTTTATTAAACTTTAAATTTTTTTTTTCTTTACCTTCCCCTGTCCCAGGATGCCTTTGAGGTAATGGCTGAAAATTATGAGTTCAAAGAAAATGAAATATTCTGCCTGGAATTTTTAAGGGCAGCTTCTTTGCTGAAATCTCTGCCATTTTCAGTAACCAGAATGAAAGATATACAAGGGTTGCCCTGCGTGGGAGATCAAGTCAGAGATATCATTGAGGTAATGTACTTCTGAATTATCTGCCAATTGATTCTTTTACAGATCAGCATTTACAGGTCACGGGGCACTGGTACATCTATGTGTGTGTACAAACCTTATGCATTTCCTGTAAAAGCAATGTGTTATTTATGCTCCTAACACAGAAACAAAAAATGAAATGATTTTTGGAAATCTTTTGTTGTAACACAAGACTCAGTCATGGAACGCCCACTCTTAGGAATGAGGGTAACAAGTGAATAAATACAAGGGAATAAATCAAGCAGTGTCAGCTTTGCATGTAATTTCTAAGGGCTCACTCTGATGGAATGCAACAGGTTCACTGTTAATAGTTTTGTTCATTGACTTTTGCCCTTGGCAACATCACTTTACTCACCTGAATGCTTTATTAGAAATATATTTTTTGTGGAAGTGGTAAATATTTTAGTACTTTAATGTTAAATCTTACCTTGCTATGTTATAGCAAGTTATATATAGTTATAGCAGAGCCTTTTAGCCAGGTGATGGATGAACTCCACATTCTTACTGGAACTTGGAGTATTCCCTGCATTTTCCTTTAGTTCTTAGCCTTTTCAGGACCCACATCTCCGAGTGCTGCCATTGCAGCAGGCAGCTGCTCAGGGGTCATTGCTGAGTGTTGTGCTGTGCTCTGGCTCCTCGTTTCCCCATTCCGCCAGTTAAAATGCAGCCTCTGAAGGGCTTTTAGTACCTTCTGTGTGGGGGCTGGGATTGCAATTTTGATCCCACAAAAAATAGGATGGTTTGTTGGGGTTATATTGGTGGTTTTCTTTGTTAGTTTTGTTTTGAATTTTTATCAGAAAGACTAAAAGTATTGTGCAGTCCAGAAAAAATTTATTTGTTCTTACAATGGTCTTACTTTGAGAGTAGAAAACATAACCAAATAATGGAATCTAATTTTCAGGACAAGTCATTGATAGCTTGTGATAAATAACTGCTTCTGGCTGTGATTTTATGAGTAAATAAGTACTGTGAAATATATTCCATGGTCCCAGTTTCTACTTCATCCTTGAGTAGATTTATGAGTAAGTAAAGACTGTGAAATTTATTCTGTGGTTCCAGTTTCTCCTTCATCCTTCAGTAATTTTCTTTCTTTAAAAGGGTTGCAGAATTTGATCCTAAGGGAATGAAACAATATGCTTGCTAGGGGTTCTCTTTATTGATTAATAAAGATTGATAAAACTTGATTTTAGATTATTTCACTAAATCTTATAATTGTGTAAGATCTTAAAATTGATTTAAATTTTTTTATAAGTAATATTTTTCTTTGTTTAGGAGATTATTGAAGAAGGAGAGAGTTCTAGAGTTAAAGAAGTGTTAAATGATGAGCGATACAAGGCATTTAAGGTAAATCCTTTGAGTTTTGTTGCTGCTGTTTAAAATTTCCTTCCCTTTAGTAGAACTTGGACAAAGCTATCAATTTTATTATAATATTAAGTACAAAGAAAGATAGGTCTTGAATGAAAAGAAAGGGAAATCGAGAAACAGTGACAAGGAATAATGTGAAGTATCTTTCTATTTTTAATTAATGTGATGTATAAATAGTTGCTCTTAAGTAGTGTAAGGCAACTTACTCTTTGCTGTAAGTTGAATGTGATATTGGTTTCATTTCTGCCTCAGCTGTTTATAGTTTTAAAATGACTTCATTGTATTCTGGAATTAAGAAAATACCAGGTGAAGAAGATGATTCAGATTTATTGTAATTCTCTTTTGTGTGAGGCAGGAGGACTGGCGCTGTTTCTTTCCTAAGCACATTGTAGAGTCTTAGTCACACAACTTCATAGTTGCAGGGAATCTAAACCACATAAATGCTGCAGTTCCCATTACTGAAATATTGATTTCTCCATTGGAAACATATAAGATGAAAAAACATTTAAAAAAATTATCTTCATTTTTGATCTCTGTAAATATCCTCTTTTCTTCAGAAAAATTAAAACAGAGTAAAACAAATGGGTTTTTTTAACTCTCCCTGGCATCACTCATTTTTGCTTCAGCTATCCAAAGGCTCTTCCATTTTCTCTGACCTACAGTGCAGGTATGGAAGGATGTTCAGAGACAGCTGTTGGTACCATCTCTAGCAATATTCAAAAAGAGGTGTAAATTCACATGTGTAGCAGGATTCAAGAAGTAGACTTGCTTATTAATGCATGATTGCATTACAGCATGATTGAGGAACATCTATTAAATCTTACACTTCAGGGTTTAAGAAAATCTCTTGGAGATTAGAGTAAAACCTATCAGGAGACAAATTACCTCAAATACGCTTTATGCCTTGTTTCACATGCAAAATTACAACAAACTTAGGTGGCCCTACTTCTTAGTTGAGCATACATCTCAATGTTTTGTCTAAATTAGTTGTAACCAGTTGTTTCCACCAATTTTTTAAATGAGGTTTTAAGAAGAATCTCATATTAGTGAATTCCTAGATTTTACTGTTTAGCATAGTCCTGGTACCTGCTGCTTCACTTATCATGGCTTGAAAGATCACTGCTGGCCCCAGGGCCATGGTTATCAAATGACAATTAAATTATAGTCAATGTTTAAGATGTAGGGACATGAAGTGACAGGGTCAGTTTGCTTTCTTACAGAAGTGGGTGCTGCAGAGAGTGAGTTTGTGTAATTTGTTTCACCATTTTTTTCAGCTGAAAAAAACCAGGTTCCTTGTGCTGCACTGCTGGCAGCATCTCAAGCATCTAAAAACCTACTAAATAACAACGGATCTTAGTACAGAAAGAAAAAAACACAATTTTGTCTTTTCCCCCTAAAAATTTGGGTGCATAGAATCCTTTTTCTTTAGTTCTATGTCTCAGTGTTAATTAAGTCTCCCAGAATCATTTAACACTCAGTAATAGACCCTTTTGAAAATATTTCAGCACTAGCAAAAACATTAAAAGATAGCAATCTAAGTATTTAAAAAATCATATCCTTTTATAAGCACCCATGATTCAGACAAAGAGTGGGTAATTTCATACATTATATACAAAATGTAGGACAATTCCTATTTAATATTATAAATTAATTTGTTTTTTCTCTTTTAAAATCTTAATTATTTCCAAGGAATTAATATCTTCACAAAAACGCAAAATAAAGCTAGCATGCTTGGAATTCAGAGGTTGTAGATTCAATGGAAAAGAACAGTTATTCATGTCTTACCCAGCTACTCATTGAATTCTATAAAAGTACAATGCAAGGTGGAGAGCTACAGTATTGACAAACTGAACATAAAGAATGTGCTTTTAGGCAAGCATGAAAGTTTTCCTTCTTTCATATCAGTGTTCATCTGAGATAGTGATCCAGTGAATAATGCTTACAGCTTCTGCTTTGCATCCTTTCATGTGTAATAAGTTAGTGAACAACATTACTTTGTAATGGATGGAGTATGACCACACAAAAGTTTCTGGTGGACTGGTAAATTTTGGAGGTGTTTTAGGTTTTTTTTTGGTTTTTTTTGCTTGGGGATGTGTGTGTGGGGTTTTGGTTTTTATTTTGGGTGGTTTTATTTTGTTTTGGGTTTTTTGCTTGTTTTTTTGTTTGTGTTTTTTTGGGGGGTTTGTTTGTTTGTTTTCTTTCCTTTTTTTTTTTAATTTTGAGAGCTGGTAATGCATATAGCACAAAGCCATAATGTCAGTCAGATTCTAAAGACAAACTTGTGACATCTCTTGTTCTATCCGGTCAGTGTCAGGCAAACGAGCTACCTAATGTTACTGTTTGATTTCTATTAAGAAATGGGGTAAAAATAAAGAATACTACCCTTATTTCGAACCTTAGTTAAAAATCTACATTTTAGAAAATTACATAAAGGTGCAAGAACTACTGCTGTATTTTTGTTTGGATTTCATATTAATGAGAACTGTCCATGTATAAAACCAGTTCTCCGTTCAATGTAGTTATGCAAAGAAGGGAAGCTGAATCTGTATATTTGTATCACACTATTTGTCTTCAGTGTAGGCTTGACTCTGCCCATTGCTTTCCTTGAGAAACCTTGTTGTTGCCTACTTATTATTAATTCACTGCTCCTTTAGAAAAAAACACTGAAATGTTTTTCTACTGACCTTAGCAATTTACTTCAGTCTTTGGAGTGGGAGTGAAGACATCTGAGAAATGGTACAGAATGGGTTTGCGAACTGTGGAAGAGGTAAAAGCTGACAAGACCCTGAAGCTGTCAAAAATGCAGAAAGCAGGTAAAGTGAGGTGTCATAAAAACTTCTATCTCAGTGCTCTAAGAACTTGATAGCAGAATCACAGGGGAAGGCAAAGCTCATCTGTTCTCTTGCTGCAGTCTTGTGAATACTGAATTATTAGGTGAAGATACGTGGACCAGCTGAGCTCCTAATTAAAAATGGTGTCATCTAAAACATAGTAATATGCATATTTTTAAATTGCTTGCACAGATACCAAATGAAATCTCTTATACACAAAGCTATTAATGGTTCATTATTGCACAGGTTGTGAAAAAATTACAAAATTGGGAAAGCCCACAATTACTTTTCAGAGGAGATCTGTCTCCCTCAAGGCAGCCCTAATTTACTGATAAATCTAGACTTGTAATAAAGTACTTACAAAATTTTTTCTACAATCCTAGCACATCTTAGCTTTAAAATATTAAACATGATCACATGAATAATGTTCCTTCCCCACAGATTTTGTGTGTATGCACTGTTTCCCTAAATAAATGAACTGATTTAAACTAAGAAATTAGTTTCGTTAAGGAAAACATATTTTATAATATGACATTAAAATAATGTAAATTTATTTTTGCACTAAATTTGTCACCTCAGACTCCCTTGGATTAGATTTCTCCTATTCGTGCTCCTTTGTCCCTCTTTCTTTTACATGTCATATTCGAATGTGAAGCAAGCTGCCATACTGGGTTCTTCAACACAGGCTCTGTGATCAGAAATAAGATAGCTGGGCTATTTCACATACTTCTGAGCTCCGTATTTGTGTAGAACACCATTATTTTGGGAAGACTTCCTTTTGAAACAGCACATCCAAAAATGCCATTGATGGGAGCTGGTAGGGAGTCAGAATAATTTATAAATATTCAGGTCTTAAGAAAGTGGAGCAATTATTGTGATTGCTGTGTTGACAAGTTACATGACAAATTATAATGACAAAAATAGACATAAACTCTAAGGACAAAGATGAGGGAAGAGGCTGTCTTTGGCCTGTGATCCCTTGTACCCACATCTGACCTGTGATTTGGGTCTTGAATAATGCTGTGTATATTTTAATGTTTCTGTGGAGTGATCAGCACTTTTCTCTTTTGATTTCCAGGGTTTCTCTACTATGAGGACCTTGTTAGCTGTGTGTCTAAGGCAGAAGCAGATGCAGTGAGCTTGATTGTCAAGAATACTGTGTGTACATTTCTACCAGATGCTTTAGTTACCATAACTGGGGGTTTCAGGAGGTGAGTGAAAAAAAATGAGGTCACTTGGCTGTTTTATGCAGGTGCATAAAAAGAAAGATGTTTATGTCTCGGAAAAAATCAAAGGGGAAGTATCAGAGTTTTTGTGGGAAAGTATCAGAGTTTGTTTTCAGCATTTTTTGTGGGTTTGTTTGTTGGTTTATTTGTTTTTTTCAAACAGGAGAGCAGTTCTATGATAGTCCCATGTTCCTGTTTTTGTTGTTGTAGATGGTTAGTTTTACTGCATCTGAATTCCCAAGGCTGATACTATTGTAAGGCCATGCTTGAAGGAAAGATACAACAGGCTTAAGGCAGTCTTGGTTTAGTTTTTTGAGGGGTGGGGGAATGATTTAACAAGATCTTAGTCATGTGAGTTTGAAATGTGCTGAGGCAGAGTTTGTACTGTTGGAAGTATACTTGGAGTAAACAGTTACTAAAATTACTACAAAGCATTGAATAAATTAAATATATGCTAATATCTGTATAGATTGGATGGTCTCAGAATTCCTTTCCTGGTTGATTTTTATTACAAATAATTTTTGTCTTGCTCTGCAAAACCAACCCCAAAGATGTTGTTCAGAAAAATACATTCTTTCAGCACTTACTTGAGAGCTTTCTTACAGCCACACAACACAGCCCTGAGACAGGGAATGGTCTTCAGGAGTTCTGCTTTCCTTGCTCTACTCTCAGTCCCCCATTATGGACTCCTTGTTCTACATGTTGTGCTCTTAAACCAAAAAAAAGTAGTCAGTGCTGGCTCTTGCTGCTGAATTAAATAGTTTGCAAGACTTTTACTATATTTTAATATAAAAGTATCTTTCAAAGATACTTATTCTCATAGAACTCAAAATATACAATTCTGTGACTCTCATGCATCTAAAATTGATATGAGAGCAAAAGACAGAAGAATATTAATAATTAATGTATCACCTGTGTGTTTTAATATTGTAAGCCTAGATAGGTCAGACTCAATCCAGTACTAAATTAAAACCTTATATAATTCATAATTTCTAGAGTACAGTGATTGTGTTGAATATTTTTATCATCTTTGTCCCTTTTCATGATATTTATAGTTATTCCTTGTATATCCCATATTTATTGTAGGAATGTTAGTAGCCTCCAGCTACATAATTTCAATAAAACTGTGTGGTCAATAAGAAGCATTAGGCTTAAGTAGGAACCCTGACCAGAGGTTTAGAAACAAGGTGAAATTTTATGTTCCAAACCTCAAGTGTCATCATTCTGTGAGTCTTTGTTTAAGAGACGTGGTGTCTCTCAAGAGAGTCTCTGTTTAAGAGACTCTCCCCCCTGATGCAAAACAGTCAGAGACCTTGTGTTATTAGTAACTTGGATGGATGTAACTGATTAACACATCTAGATGGGTCAGAGCCTCACAGGTAATTTACTGAAAAGTCCCAGTTTCTTCTAATGCAATGTATTTGTGAGCTTTGTTGGTGGCATAGTTTGCAAAGTTTGACTCTCACAAATCAAATATAAGCCTTTTGGCTTGCTTATTATTGTGGGGAGATATGATAGTCATTCTCTTTTTTTATTAAGAAGAAGCTTTTGTATCTCTAAATGGGTGTATCAAGATAGAAGAGAAATTATTTAAGTATCTATTGATGCCTGCTAGTGGGTAATTCTGTGTGCTAATTACATGCCTTTAACTGTACAAGAATACATTGAGCTTTAGGTTTCAATATGTCAGTCCTAATGATATTTTACCAGCCCATGGAAAACAAATGCTACAGTGTAGGATTTGCAGATAACTTGATGGATTGAGATGCCTCTTTCAGGCATCTCTATTTTAATTACTGAATTCCAATATGGTTAACTACATCTGTTCTTTTTTACATGTCTCCTGTAATGGAAATGCTCTTCAGCAAGACGTTTGTGTAAGCTCGCAGTTTTCAATTACCAAGTTATTTTTTGTTGCTTTCATCATTATATGATATATATATACTATTTTATTTTAATAAAATAGGCCAGTTGTATCATTTAAACAATTCCCTCATTCTACACCTTGTACACTGCTAACATTAGAGGAAAAATAGCTCACAATTGCTCTGAATGATATACTGATTCCCCAGGATCCAGATTTACCTTGCTTTGTATTCCTGTTTCATAACTTGGAAAAAAATTAACAGTTGATAGTTTTCCTCTAGATTTTTGATTTGAGAATTGAAATTCATGAGTCTCATAAATCTTACTATGCAGGAGAACTGGATGAATCAAAATGAGCTGAACTTCCATAGAGACCTGCAGCTATGGAGATTCAATAGAGATGAAAGTAGAGATGAACATTCTTTTCCCTAAATCTACTACATCCACACAGGGATGGATATATTTGCTGTTACTAGATATTTCCCTTTAAATTCCTGAAATGTCAAGAAATCAGATGATGTAGAAATTCTTTAAATCAAAATTAAGAAGCATAGTATAAAAGTAAACTAATAGGTTTTGTTCTGTTTTATTTTAAATTCCAGCAAACTTGTTAATGGACTTTTCTTTGGTTTGATTAATTTTTCACCTCTAGTCTTTTGTATGGCTTATTTTCCTAGTCTTGTAAAAAATAATAGAATTATGATGGCAACCCTTCATATCTTTCCAATTTGAAATAATTCAGGAGCAGAAATTAATAAATTAATGAAGTCTAGGTAAGTTTATCCCTCGCTTTCCTACAGGAACACTTCTCTAACTGCTGTAAAACATTCCTTGAGTTTCAGTGAGTATAGTTTCAATTGTGATGTTGGGAGAGTTTTTCTTTTTCTGTCAACCTTCTGTCAGCACTTATCTGGGTCATTTTGGAACAGAAATTGCAACACTGTAATGCATGGAAATACAGAAATAGAGCAATTGTAGTTATAAAATAAATCACACCCACATGGTGTGGAATGTATTTCATTTTCTATTCAGGTAAGGTGTCAGGGAGAGTGACTGCAGAGAAGGAAGAATCACAGATGCTGATAGTGCAATAAAAATCATGCCATGGACAACGTTATTAGAAAGCCTGAATTTGCCATGCAAAGTCCGTTTGAATTGGCATAGTAATATTTTCAGTGCTCAGCCTTTCTTATTTTGAGATTTAAGCTAATGAGACAAATTCTGAGGTGGGGAATAGCACCTCATAAATTACACAAGCCCCAAGGGTGAAGTATCCCTTCTTACATAAACAGAGGCCCTGGGATGGGGAGAAGAAACCCCATATTCTGGTAAGCAACATCCCTGATAAATAATGCACTTGTCCCAGCTATATCCAAGGCAGGAGTGTAGTTTAGGCTAATGTGTATTATCACTTTTAAATGAGTTAAATCCTGGGTTTTAGCTAACTTGATTTAGCTGCTGATGCTTGGTTTTGCCCCAAGATGTGATCTAAGTGGAAGGTTTTGTAAGAGCTTGGAGGAAGCACTATATCCTATACATAGTTTATGGTTTCAGTCTCTTTACTGGTTTCATATCTCAGTACATATACCCACAGCCTCCAAATTTGGCTGGAAAAGTTCAGAAAAGGATCTGGAATAAGAATTACATACAGTAATAAGAATATCTTATATATATATATGTAACAGAACTGCATTTTCAGAATGGTTTTCTGTGTGCTCTGTCCATATGACTCACAAATTATTTACAAATTAGGGTTCAGTTTTATTATGCTGCATATAACAACAGTTGTGGTTAGCTTTGTAGCAGTAGAGTTGTTTCTCCATGATGTGAGGACATGGTTGCCATATCACCCATAGGAACTTATTGTTTAAAAATTATTTAGAGATCCTCTTAGTATTATTATTTCACTTGTCACTTGCTCAAATATTTACTTAGACACACTCTTGTTGGCTTCTCCTACCTTAGCCTTTAGAGAAAGTGAAGTAGACTAAGGAGAGGCTTTGTTTTGGGTCATTTTTCATATTGCAGTTCTGAAGAAGCTGTTCAAGTGTCTTGGGCATTGCATCATGAAGAATAACTAGTGTATTTTGTCTTTTTTATCTTTATGAGAGGTTAATTTTTCCATGCTGTATCAGTCTTTAAGGAAGTTTTATTCCCAGTCTGTCTTATTGTTAATTCTGTTCTAACATGAACCTGAGTATAGATCACTATCTCCTTGCTTGAATTTTTTATTATCTTTTAGAAATGAGGATTTGATACTCTGTAACATTTGTAGATAAGAGTTATTAATATAAAAGCAATGAAGAGAGCAAAGGACAGGGTGACTGTGTTTGTCAGGCACCACTGCCATACTTGTGTATATTACAATGGAAAAAATTCCCTCCTGTGTGCAGTGACATTTCCTACAAGGCAAAGGAATGCATAAAGTAATGACACAGGACAGGATTCTGCTCTTTCCTGTTCTGTACCAAGAAAATAATTTAAAGATATCTCTTCTTTCAATCTTGGAGATAAGATGAAATAGCTGAGACAAAGAAACACTTTGAGAGATTATTTTACATGTTCATGCAGTGATAAATAACCAAGGTTGTTGTGGCACCTTCGTTTCAGAAATAAGACTTTTGTATGGCATGTGGAATCACATTTATCTAACTGTGCTGCCACATGCTCATAAAGGGGAGACTGTGAGATTGAATGTCTGAAGAATATTGCGCTTTCCAAGCTTTGGAATATAAGCAAGACTTTGTGCTTTATTTAATTGAGCTTGTTGTGTGGATTCTGACTGAACTTCTTGATAAATCACAGAACATCTGATCACAAGTTCTGATCCTGATAAAAAGCTCTATTTGACCTTTTGATATTGGATATTCCTAATAAGAGTATTCTTTTAGAGGCTGCAGATCTTCTGCAATGAGGTTAGAGCTCCTGACATAAAACAAAATTTTGTTTAGGTTCTCAGAGTAAATGTATTTGAAGTGCTCTTTTACAAATTATTTTCTTTCTCCTCAGATCTAGGATTAAAATAGTGCTGGACTTACTTGCTAAACTAATAGGATTAATTTTGTAAAAGATTCTTGCAGTAAGATTTTAGGCAAACTCCTAAGCGGAGATTGCTTATT